GGATTTAGGCTTTGGCTTTGCATGTCTCTTATTTAAGCTGCAGTAAAATAATTTAAGACAAATACACCTTTTAAAACTTTGTAGTCGGAGCCCGACATGATTCGTGACCGGGCGGGACTGATGTAAGCCTCGAAATGCTACTAAACCTTTTGTAAATGGAACCCGAAATCATTCGTGACCGGGCGGGACTGATGTAAGCCTCGAAATACAATACTAATACACCTTTTGTCCTAGGAACCCCAATGATTCGTGACCGGGCGGGACTGATGTAAGCCTCGAAATAATACTAATAAACCTTTTGTAAATGGAACCCGAAATGATTCGTGACCGGGCGGGACTGATGTAAGCCTCGAAATTAAAGAATGGGTTATGTACTGTATTTAGAGGTATTGCTGCTCTAAGCCTAGGTCATATGCCACCCTTAGCTTTGAGCGCTCGCTCCCGGGAGGGACTGATGTAAGCCCCACCAACCCAAACTGAAAGCGTGCTTTTGGGTATGAGAACCCTAGCCAGGCCCTAAGCCGAAAGCGTGCTTCTTGTAAACGCTGCGGAGGTTTAGAGCGCTCGCTCCCGGGAGGGACTGATGTAGTGGTAGGGCATTCCACACCCTAGGCTTAGATCAGCGATACCACTGTATACTCTTAATTTTATAATGCCAATGCAGGAGATTCGGATGCTTCTTCAGCTGGTGTTTAGGGTTTTTAGGATTTAAGATAGGGCTTATTATTATAGGGTTTAAGGGCTAGGGTGTTTAGGGGTTCAGCCATGCCACCGAAGAAGGGCGCCAACAAGAAGGCAGAGGAACAGCCGGCTCCAGCTGCAGTGCCCAGCGGTGCAAACCTCGGATTGCATTGGTTGGCTTCGGAATTTTTGTCGTGTCATCATTGAATTATTGAAAGTTCAAAGACCGTAGGCGCGGCATGGAATGCAGATCTTGTCTTGGCTTACACGAATGGTGTCCAGAAGATCATGGACTATTGGCCGGGGATATACGAGGAGACACCATACAAATTGGGTGACGGTGGAAGCCAGGATTCTCGGTTATTACTTTGTTTGCATAAATTATCTCGAGAACTTCTCTGTAATTGTCTGGGGTCTACCAAACCTTCTTGCTGAGGTTGGGTTCGATGCAAAAAGTGCGAAGGCGGTCCTCAAGGACTTCGGTGACCAATACCGGTGTGCCCAGAATTTCTTCAGGGCGGACCTCGTGTTCAACCCAGATCCCAACGTGGCTAGGTTCATTATATATTCTTCAGGCCTGAAATTTCCTCAAATAAGCCTAAACCATTCACGAATTCTAAACTCAATCCCTCCAACCCTAATCCCTACTCAAACACTGACCACTCTAAAAATGTTCTAATTTGATTCTGTCCCAAGTTAATTAAGGTACCGCTACGCACACAAGCGATCGAGAACATCATTGAGTACCACTACGCAACACCCAATGCCTTCCAGGAACCATTCCAGGTGATTGTCCCTAAGGCTTGGACTGTTTCGATGAAAACCAATGAAGTCAAGCCTGTGGTGCCAGTCGAGCACCTCATGGCATTCGTTTCGTGACACTGCAGCACCAGCCGGTTCGTTTCTATCATGCGGTGAGAGCGCGTGTATCGACACCAGACCTACTTAAACTTAGGGCCATAGTCCGCGACATGGACGACGAGGGAAAAATGGAGGAGTGGAAACTTCATCTACTCAACGTCGATTTCCTCTACAAAGTAGGGAAAGAAGAAGATCTGTTTTGGGACTCCCAGAACGCCCGTCAAAAGAAGATCAGCGATTCAACGAATATGTCATTGACCTGCATTCAGAAGATCTTCTCGGTTCTTAACCACAAGCATCGGCTCGAGCGGCACAGCAAGACCGAAATGAGTACCTTGTATGCAATGACAATAATTAATAATGACTACTACATGTCTTTTGCCGCCCCAATAAAAGTTTTCAAGCTTACCGAGGTGTCCAAACGTTCTGCGACCTCTATGACAAGCACTACCGAGCAGCCAATGACAACGAGAAGGTTGGATCTTTGGGGGTGGGGCTGAGATGGAGAATGATGTTTGGCCCATCAGGTGAGTGATACTTTCGTTGACACCGCCATTACCATGGGTCGGCGTGTAACCTGACATCAACAAATTAATTGGCTTTGAGAGTTTAGGGGTTTAGGGCTTAGGGAAATCTCGGTGGCCGAGGTACTCCGCGACCCCAAGCTGGCGGATCTCCTGATGCGTGCCGATGAGCATCCCAAAGGTTCGCCGTTCGATCATTACACGAAATTGCAGTGGTTGATCTCCAAAAGCAAGACCGAGCACGGGATATCTTGGGTGTTCCAAGCTGTGCTGCTTGTCAGAGTATTAATAATATAGTAGCATCATCTGAGGCATCTGTGGTCATTCAATCCCAAACTCGAAGCTTTGAGTTTCAATCTGGAACCTCAGGTGGGACGGGTACAAGAACGGATGGCTAAAGGCGGACTACCTGTCCAAGCGGGCACTACAGGGGGAAAGCTTTCCGGGGGGCACGGTCAACATACTCTTGGGTATGATGGAGCTGAAGACGATCTTGCTTCATGAGACTTCGAAGTGCTCCAGCAAAACCACAGCTTGCAGCGTAGTCAATCCTGAATCATTCTTATCATGCTAGTATTGAGGCCCTTCGCTTGGGAACCTGAGATCCGCAAGAAGATGGATGAGGTTTTCGCAAGCCACGAGTCATACCGGAGGCACCCTGCTACTTTGTCTTTTTAGCTTAAAACATCTGATATTTCCTGGTTTGGCCGCAGGTTCTGTGGTCACAAAAACCAGAAGATTGACCTGACCTTCAAAGCAGGACTGCCAGCCTCCATCACGAGTTCGCGGGTTGCCATTTTCGCCTCATTTCAATTTCAGGCTGGCCGAAATCCGCTCTGCAATTCTTCGACCATATCGAGGTCGAAAGTCTTGTGAGTTCTATGCCAATCCCCAAACGACCCTCTAAGCCCTAAGTTTTGTCTACTATGCCGCTGAGAACTGCTGCTTCAACGATAGCTACCTCGCTGCCTACAAACAGCTGCTGAAGAATCGCAAGTCCGATACTTGCATTGAAGATATTTCTCAAAACTCCACTAATTCAACTGATTGCCTACTGGGACTAAGGTTGCCGACTGGGTTGATCATTCGGACCTTGACAAGCCTTTGCAAGAAATACATCAGCCTGGAACCCAGACCAAGAGCTCTATCTAAATATCCCGGGGCCACCTTGTTGCCGAAGGCTTTTCGAGGATGAGAAAAAGGAGAAGACGAATGGCGAGGCACGTCGAACGGAACCTAAACCCTTAACCCTAAACCCTAAATCCCATCCGACGAGGCTGCGGCATCGGAGAACGATGATGAGGAGGCCAAGCTCCTGAAGGCCGCTGCCGAGACAGAGGACGACAAGGAGCATGGGCATCTCAAGGCCGGGGTTCTAGGCGCCTTCGTCGGCTAACACTACAACCTAACCTTTGATACTATTCAGTTTTGACCCGCACTCTAAACTAATCAAAACCATCTTCAGCCTATGCATGTCTGAGGCAGCAAGATGAATTTCCGTTGAGTTCGGGCTTGAAAGCCAAATTTCGTGAGGTCTTTTATACATCCTTCTCAGTCTGAGCCATGCCGAAGGTGTCCATTCAGGTTGTCAAAGTGGAGTATGAGTGGGGTGGGGGCAATGATCAACGCCCTCTGGGGTTTGACTTTCTGAGACCCGATGACGATGATCGCCGTCCACCTCCCCCGCCGCCACGGATGCATACAGCTACCACACACCCGGATGATGACGACGGTGAGTCTGAGACTGACTGGTCACCGTCCCCGTCTTCAATGCCGACAAGCTCAGATGAGGCCACCACGGCCCCACGCCCGTCACGGGTTTCAACTACCCCGCCGAGGAATGAGTCTCCGCGGATCCCGTTTGCGGCCCTTCCTGGAGCTACCTCTTCCAAGGACAAGACGAAGAAAAAGAAGGATAAGAAGGACAAGAAGGCCAAGAAGACATGTAAGAAGCTCAAGAAGCTGAGAAAAGAACATAAATCACGACTTGGCTGAGCTGGCATGGAAGACTGGTCAGTATCCGGTAGCCAGCTGGTTGGCTGACCGGCCAACTTTTTTCTTAGATATCTTAGCACAGAAGCCTGGCCCTGAAGTGGACAGCTTGGGGAGCTTAATTACATGTGGGAAGTGCTCTGCTGCACAAGCCATTCGCTGAGAAAAAGTACCTGCTGAGTTGTCACTAAATGTGTTGTCATTGTCCAATCCTGTCTCTACCCCACTGCTCAGATCAAGCTGCCGGCAACAACCAAGAAGAAGGACACTGAAGACGAGCAGGCCAAGCTCCTTTCCGGTCTCGATGATGAGGCTTCGCGAAAGCTGAAAATGCTTCCTGCCAACAGCATATCAGAAATTTCATGACGCCCGATGATCTGTGTCTCTCTCAATCACTCTCTCTCTCTCCTCTAAGGTTCAAAGAGAAAGCTATCAAAACGGTACGGACACACGTGCTGCTGGTTAAGGAGGACGTGAAAGCATCCGACATGCTCAAGACCCTGAAAAGCACCGCCGTTTCCGAGTGGAAGGGCGAGGTATCACATGCCAACAGTGAGCTACTTGTTTGAAACTTAAACTACACTTCGTGCTTCCACTCCGAACGACTTCAGGATTGAGGGATTTGTGATTTGGTGTACTTTAGTGTGTACTAGGTTGGGGGCTTAGGCCTGTGATTTAGGGTTCAAGCAAATGGTGTGAAAAGCTTTCAATTCTGATAGGATTGCTGAGCTAGCAATTGAATGAATAT